TTTAAAGTTTAATTTTTTTTTTCAAATTTAAATGACTTGAAATAGTAGGTGTGTATTATTAAAAAATAGGAGAATCTAATAAAAATATTAAAAAAATAATTTTCAAGAAATAAATTGACCAAAATAACCCTAAAAAGTTTTAGAAGTATTTTGGTCAATTTATATTTTGTAAATTAATTTTCAAATATTTTAATTATGCGTGTCTTGATGATAAGAACACACGCCTAAAATTTCAACTTATTTAGATTCTTATAAAAAATTCAAATTCAAATATGAAATGAAGTCGTGACCGTTAGATCGGGCCAAATTCAATCTGAGCCGTTGGGCTCATATGTTTATATGAGGGGGGCTAATTTGAGCATTTTTCATATATATATATATATATATGAAAAATATCTTCATATCTCTTATTTTTAGGTTTCATTTCTTGATAAATCCAATGTTTCAAAAGATGTATTTAAGCCTCTAAACAAATGAGAGAAAGACATAATCTCTCTAAACCCAATTCTCTCTCTTCACTTATATACTACAAAGTTATCTCTTCTCTTTCTCTCCCCTCCGTGTTTCTCCAAACACCTCTTTCTCTCTCCTCTCGGTAACCTCTCACCTCCATAAAGCCCTTCTCTCTCTCTCTTTCTCTCTCTCTCTAGAAGTTTAAGATGATGTTTTTTAAAAAAGCATGTATTTTTAGATTTGTTTGGCTTAAAAAAACAAGTTTAAATTAGCTCAAGGGGTTAGAAAAAAAAAAAATCTACAATTTTTTACTTCAAGATATCTTTTAGAACCTTGAGTCTGATGTGAACTGAAACTTAAAAATAGGGGTATGGAGATATTTTTTGCATGTTTTTTTAGATTTGTTTGACTGAAAAAAACAAGTTTAAAATTAGCTCAGGGGGTTAGAAGAAATAAAAGCTACAATTTTTATGTCTCAAGACATCATATAAAACTTTGGGTCTACGGTAAAATCAAACTAAAAAATAGGGAATATATATATATATATATATTATATATATAATTTCTAGACTTTTAGAAGACCTAATATGGATACCAAGTATGGTTTTTTGATCCGGATCCAGATCCAAACATTTTAGATTCGATCAGATCTGGATCTAGATTCAATCTGATCTGAATCCAAATCTGAGTAGATCCGGACCTAATTGAAATATTCTCGGCCCTAATCATAGGCGATCAAAATAGAAGCCAACTTGTATTCCCACCTACCCTTTATTCAACTATATTTCAATATTTTTCTCACCTTTAATGAGATTCTAAACTTCTTTATTTTCAAATTCAATTATTCGTTGTTAATTATTTTTACTTCCACACCTTATCAAAGCAAATTATTGCTCGGTTTTAATTTTTTTAATTTTTATTAAATTGTTTGCCTTCTACTTATAAAGTAGACATGGTGAACCTTAAGAAGCACCTTAATCATATGCAATCTTTTGTAAGCTCGATATCTAGAAGCATCTACCACATAACTTAACAATGTGTACATTTTTGTTTTATACAAAATATCAATTAATATCATATTTAAGCATTATAAACCACCTGAAATGCACGCCTCTGATAGTTACTATATAAAACTATTGCATGAAAATCCAAGATGTGGTCTAAATAGTTACTATATAAAATTACGTGTGTATGGGATTGTATATTATAAGACTATTTATTTTTAGTATTAGGAGGTTGCAATTACTTTTAGTCATTAGATGTGAAATCCGACAAATTGAAGGGTGTGATAACATTATAAAAAAAATTAATTTAGACTTTGTGTTGAAGTCAATGACACATCCCTAACTACCGAATCACATATCTAACAATCAATAACGATTGTGACATCCTCATATCAAAGGTAAATAATCTACAACATATATTTTTTATATAAAATAATAGATTGTATACAATGAGACCATTTATCTTTGGTCTCATTGTAAATACTTATTGTGTGAACATGTGTAATAGTGAGAGTGGTAAAGCAAAGGGTTGAAAACCTCTCAAGATGCCATTGCAATGAATTAACACTTTTAAGTGAAAAAGCCAGCTATTCCAACTGGAATTTTAGAGCCACGACTAACGATCGAAAATCGTTGTCATGAGCAAGTTTCAATGCTGCATTTTAACATATGAATTCCAATTTGTTGTACCAAGATTCACTTTCTTATTAATTGCCATGCTCGTGGTTGCCTTTCGTTTGGCCTCCCAAAATTTACCTCAAGTTTACTTGCAACAAAATTGGCCCTTGGTCATGAAATATAGAAATTTTTTTGAATGTCATAGTGGTTGTCTAATCAATATTAGACAATTAATAGTGAGCAAACAATAATTTCACTTACTAGCGCCATATGTTCTTATCTGACACTTTCAAGAACTACTGACTTGGTGGTTCTAAGTCATATATATATATATATATATATATATATATATATATATATATATATATGTATATATATATATATATTATTATTAGTTGTGTTACTGTATAATGTTCGTTGAAATCAATAACTTCTTTTTTTCAAAAAGCATTTAAGAGATGAACTATTCAATATCTTCAATCAACTTTATCAAATTATTTAACATCTTATCTATTATTTAAGGGGTGAAGTTTGCGTAGGGTATCAACCTTAAACAGTCAAATGAAGGCACACCTCAAAACTATACCGAAGGATGCAGTATTGGTGCCATAAAGCCTTGTAATGACATGAAAATCTTTTATCAGCTTTAATTATGAAATTTAAAACTCTTAAAATAGTTCATATCAATAAAATCCACGAACAATTTAAAATCTAGAAAATGGATGGTCTATATAATGCGTCACAAGATGAAGTACTTTTATGACTTACAATTTTTTTTCCTCTTCATATCCACGTACCTGGATGTCTAGATGATTAATTAAATATTTTTTAGCATCAAAACTACCTTTTTTTTTTTATGGGTTTTTGAGGTGCCCCTTACTTCAACCACCAATACAAGGTTGACACCTTATATAGATTTTTCCTTGCTTAACTTTAATTTTGAAAGGTGAATGTTCTTCCATAGATTCCATCAAAAGAGGGGTGCTTTGCCATTTTGCCTATCCTTCTAGAGTTAATCCCAATTGGTTTATGAGAAAACTATTTGTTTGTATACGTGAAGCTTTGAGTTTTATACACTCCAATGATTAGTATGCTCCCTCAAGAGCCAAATGTCTTGCTTCCTCCTGCAAAACCTATAAGAACTATTTTTAGGATTCAAAATTTTAGATAGGTAACCTACTCAATCACTCAAACATCCTAGAAAAGAGGAAAAATTTATAATGCACTTTGGAAAGAACATGCTTGAGAATTGCACACATATTGTTTAAAGTTAGGGATTTGGATACTCAAAAAAGAAAATGTGAAATTGTTATTTTCGAGGGAAATTTATTAAAAATAGCTCAAGATGGAGATAAACTTCCTTATAACTCCCCAATTCAAGGTCTTGAATGTTTTTCATGAAGTTCTAAAAGTCTTGTATTTATTTCATTGACCATGCTCAAATTTCAAAAGAAAATTTTTCAAAACTTTGCGACACATTCAAGATATCAAATTTCACATCAAATAGTTGTAAGTTATTGTAACCTCATTGTATCAAAAGCAAATGGCCTCATTGTATACAAACCATTTTTTTTTTTCTTTATAAATTGATTGCTAGGTTGAGTATATCATGTCCTTAAGATTCAAGATTCTAAAGATACTCCTAACACTAGTTTTATGGGATGGAGCACCATTAATTTTGCTTCTATTAAATATAAGGCTTGTAAGGTCCGACAAGTCTTAACATTGGAACTAAATTTAGAAAGAGGGGCAAAGTTATGGGCAAGCTTTCTATGCTTCCCCTACAACATAAAACTTATATACTTCCCCTTATCCAACTGTCCATTTTGAATGGAGGGCTAAGATTGCCCCAATCACAATGTCACGTCTCTACACTATTTCATTTTTATTTATTTTCATATAAATTATTTTGACACCAAATTTTGGATATCCAATCCTCCATTAAACTCGCACTAGGAAAAATATAAAAAAATATTTTCAATGAAATAAAATAACAAAAGTACCCCTGAAAGTTTAAAGGGTATTTTGATTATTATATTTTATCAAAAAATTATTTTAAATATTTTTTATAGGTGCATCGCAATGATAAGACACGTGCCAAATTTCATATTCATACAATTTGTTTAAAAAAAACTAAAAATAAAATACTTTTAGACGTCGGATTTAAGATCAAACGGTGAGTGGTTGTAGCGGAAGCATAGATCTTCTATGCTGTAGGGGAAGTATAGAAACCTTTCCCCAAAGGTATAAAAATAATGTATACAATGGCACCATTTACTTCAGGTATAAGGGACTCACAACTATTACTTACTGTTACATGTGAATTCGGGTGGTTGGGGATTCGTCATTCACTAGGCACAAGTCCAATAGAAAATTTATTGAATGTTTTAATATACTTTAATCTGTTAAATATCACATCAAATGGCTAAAAATGATTGTAACCTACTTGTACAAAAAATATTATCAAGTATCCCTCCTAAAAAATTTAACTCTCTAATAGTGTTTGAAATTAAATATACACCTTATAAAATTAATTTTTAAAAAATAGATGAGGTGTTAGATTTTTTATGTATTTCACTTATAAAAATCACTAAAAGAAATATAAAAGAGTTCAAAAGAAATTTTCATATTCCAATGACCAAACTTGGAGTTCAAAACAAATTTTTTAAAACTTTTTGATACATTCAAGCTACCAGATTTTACATGAATGGTTGTAACTAATTGTGACCTCCTTATATCAATGATAAATGATTTCATTGCATACAATCCCTTAAAAAAATATGTAATTGTATACAATCCCTGGAAATATTTAGATTGAAAATAGAGATTCATGAAAGTTTGTGGCACTTTAGGTATTATGGAAAAACCAAAGGGTGGTTTGGTCATACACCTTATTTATGTACTCTGATTTTAACTTTCAGTTTTAAAGAAGGGGAGTGAGAAGAACGGCGGGAGAGGAAGACAGAGATGGCGGAGCCTCCTCCCAGGCTTCTTAATTTCGTATCAGAGGAGCAGGTATTTATATATATATTTTTTATTGTTTTATAGGATTTTTTTTTAACACTATTTCCTTCATATATATAATTATTTGGATATTCAATTTTTTTTAGGCAAATATTTATTCATTGTTGTTTCCATCAGTATCCATTTCTCTTCTAGAATCATCAAGGAGCTCTTTGTTTTCAATTTTTTTTTTTTAAATAATGGGTTGTGTGGATTTTTCATTAATACTTAAATGCACCGTGATAATTCCTTATATCGTTACACTCTCTTTTCCTTTTTGTCACTGTCTCTGTACTCCTAGTGGTAAACCCAGAATACAGAAACTGAATTGGTGCTTTTCCGGTGATTTTCCTTTTTGTTTTTCTTGTTCTTTACTTTGTGGGGCAGTTGGATCAAGCTAGGAAAAACAGAGGAGAGCGAGTGGAGGATGGCACTGCTCAGAGAGATAAACCCTTATTTGAGGTATTTGCATCTACAGTTTTTCTTGTTTTCTTTATTATTATAATTTTTTTTATTATAATTTTTGCAGAGATTAAATATGGATCCGAATATATCTTTCTCCCACAATTCGTGTATTTTATGATGCTTACTTCTTCAGAATTCGGTCTTGTTATCTGATAATTTCTTTTCTATCGTTGTTCTTCTGTCGAAATTGTTTGGCATTAGTTATGGTGCATTTGTTAGATTGATTACATTTCTTAAAAGTGTGTGCTCATTAAGGAATTTGGGAACGCGGGTTGATTTTATTTATTGTAGTCGCTTGTTGGCACGAGTTGATGCACGTTCGCTGTAGATGGTAATGATTATTTGAGAATCAATTATCCTCCTTGATTTTATTGGTGTTCCTGTAATTCAATATCTCAATAGTTAAATTAAGTGAACCTCACTGTGGCACCTATTATGCAGATTGCAAGTTTTTTTTTGGTTAGTTTCTGTTTGAAACTCATTGAATTAATTTTTGCCTAGTTACATTCACACGGTTGTTCATATCCTTATTTGCATAGTGTCTATGTGTGCGTACGCATGCGTGCATGCATGTGTCTCCTAGTCAATTATGGGTTTTTAGGATCATGCTATCTACTATGTCGATTTAATCATGGGACGTTAATCAGTGACTGAAGTTTCCTCAATGGCTGCAGGCACAGCTTGCCAGACAGTTGATTATGGGTTTTTAGGATCATGCTATCTACTATGTCGATTTAATCATGGGACGTTAATCAGTGACTGAAGTTTCCTCAATGGCTGCAGGCACAGCTTGCCAGTGTCTGGCTTTCTCAAAATTCCCTTTTTTAATGTCTTCCATTCAGTCCTAATATGATCTTGACGACAAATTTTCCATCCTCTCCCCCATATTTATTTATTTATTGGTTTTGCACCAAATTGACTTGCACCCACTAGCTAATAGCTTGAAATGAGTAACTCAGACTGTTTACATATTTGATCAAATAGATTCTTTGTGATTTAGCAAATAGATATTGGAATGGTTTCAGCATAAAATATTTCCAATATGTGCCTCAATTGGTTAGAAAAGTTTTAGTAGAAAAATTGGATGACACCCCCAATATTCCTATCAGCTTGAGTTACTGATAGAATCGAGCGTTGTGGGGACTATAAATTTACGAGCAATTGTTGAATGAAAATTTGCCTGCCACGGCACCTAGGTGGCCTAGGGGGCTTTCCAAACCAAATAGTTCTTAGTCAGGGCCCCATTTAGGTTAGTACTAGGGTCCCTACCTAGGCGCCCTAGGACTGCCTAGGTGGTCTTATGGAGCCCTTGGCAAAAAAAAGGCCCTTGGCTGCTCCAAGTGTTTGATGCAAGGCGCCTCCCCACTCTCTCTTTCTCACACACACATGCATACATAGTCGAAATAGTAAATGACTGGATCCTCTGGAACTGGGACTATACTATGAAATATGGGATTGGGAGTGACTCCGCTTCAAACGAGCACTTGTATATGTGGGAACGTCCGATGTCGGGAAATGCATTAAGTGTCATAGCATATCAAATGGAAAAATGCCTCTTTTATTGGATTGTAAACCCCAGGTGGGTTGTGGGTATGGATCACCCATTAAAGGTTTAAACGAAAGAAGAGATGTTTCAAGAAGATCTCTGCAAATTCAACCGATTGATTCCCTGGAACTTTAGGGATGTGCTAAAGACTGAACTGAAGGCTAAGTTCTTACCTGGTGACGTGTCTTGGATGGCTCACCATGCTTTAATGGCACTTAAGCAGACCCGAGAGGAGCTTTTTTTAGTCTTTCGAAATAGATTAGATGGCTTGGCTCGCTCAAAAAAAAAGTGTGCTCTTCGTCCATCTACACATAAGAATAAGAAAAGAATAAGACAACCTACTAGTGTTCCATGCGAGGCTTCACTCTCTCTCTCTTACCCACACACACTCGCACATACCATATGATTTCTCTCTGCATACAAGAAGAAGAAGGGAAGAAAACATCCAAGCGTTTGATGCGAGGTCTCTCTCTTTCTCACTCACAGACACTAAAATGGACCCATATGCTCGCTCTGCATATTAAAAGAAGAAGACATCCTCCAAGTTTTCAATGGGAGGCCTATCTCTCTCTCTCTCCTGGACCCATATGCTCTCTGTGTCTCTCTACCTATAAGAAGAAGAAAGAGAAAAAAACCAAAGACAACCTCCACGCGTTTGATGGGAGACACACTCTCTCTCTCTCTCTCTATCTCTCCCCCCCCCCACCTCCCCCCATCCACCCATTCTTTAGGGCCGCCAGGTATCTAGGCGTCCAAATAGGCCTTCTTCAATATTAGGGTCAATCATACTATGTTTGACGACAAATGAATAATTGAGAGGCATTTATTTATGAGATTCTCTGCTAGTTCTCTATTGTGATGGGGCATCTTCTGGCTTTACCAGTGGGATTTACTTGTTTAATTTGATGCATGAATGTAGTTTCATTGATTTTATTTATCACATATTTGTTGTAGATCCTAAAGGAGAACAAAGACAAACGAGATGCGGAGTTCAATGAACGATTCAAGCATAGTAAGTCCCTTATAGCCTAAAGAAACAACTATATGTTATGCATTACTGTGTGATATTCTCACGGCCTCAATTTTTTCAGTTTAGAAAGATGTAGATATTCTCAGTCTCAACTTTTCCGCTTAAGAAAGATGTAGCCAATGGAAGATTTAGTCTTGAAAGGGAGCTTGTAGAAATATTTCGCTGGCAACATATGCGCTTCAGCGGCTTTTGAGGCTAGCCATGCCTCTTGAAGTTCCCGTTCTACTAAGACTCAAATACTTTTGTATTATCATGCGTTTCATAACCATCTGCCCCTTGAGGATATCCTATAGATTGTTATTCTACCTTGTCCTTGGCAGTTGCAATGCGCATTTTATGTTTCTTGCATATAATGCACTTATTCCTCATATTGATAGTTTCACTATGGTTTATAACTTTTTCTTTTTTTTACTTCCACTACGCTTTGTGTTGGATATTTGAGCCTTTTCCTTGCTGCTGGTTTTGAAGTTGTTGTAGTTACCATATTTGAGTTTTTTTTAGGGTTTCAGTACAGATTTTTACACCCATCAGGGAAAAAAAAAACTAAAATCCGGTAAGTGACCGTGTTGCATTGTTCCCATTTTAGGACCTCCCAAAGCTTTGGATGACGATGAGACAGAGTTTTTGGACAAACTGGAGATGGTGAGCATAGCTATTCCTTAATTTGGTATGCCAGCATCGACATATTAATTTACTCCAAAACAGGCCAGTTTTTAGCACTGGGCTAACATTCTGAGGTTGTTCATAATTATATATTTTAATTCCAAGAGGGATAGCATCTGTGATTTCTTATTTTGGTGGTTGTCAATGGCGTGCATCTTCAATTCTGTCATGGCAGGCTTGAGTACAATATTATATTTTCTCCATAGGAAGCGATTTTTCCTTTTAGTTAAGAAAAGCCATTCAATTTGTTTGAGACACTCTTAAAAGTGTTATATTTTATGAGAACTATGTTAACAATAATCTAGTAGTCCCACATTTGTCCAGCCAAAAGTGATGGCATTTATTCTGGGGATTGTTCACATTAGGAATATATATAGCAACTAGATATATGCTTCTTGCTTTATGTGTGTTACCTCTCTATGTTATGAAAGGTACCCATTTTGGACAAAAGTGTCAGATTCATCATCATCATCGAAGCCTTTTCTCAACTAATTTTAGTCGGCTACATGAATCCTGGTTCTCATTATGCTCTATTAAGGGTCATACCCTCAGTGAGGCCACAAGTCTCCATATCTTTTCTCACTACTTCAAACCATGTCCTTTTGGGCATACCCCTTGTCCTTTCAAAGCCTTCTACTTGAATTAACTCACATCTTCTAACAGATGTTGTACTGGATCTGCGCCACATATGGTCAGCCCACCTAAATCTATTTTCTCTCATTTTATTGCAATTGGTGCCACTCTTAAATTCTCCCGAATGTATTCATTTCGGATTCTATCCCTTCTTGTATTTCCACTCATCCATCTCAACATCCTTATCTCAGCTACACTCATTTTATGTATTTGTTATTTCTTGACCGCTTAATATTCCATCTTATAAAGTAAAGCTGGTCTCACAGTTGTCCTATAAATTTGCCCTTCAGCTTCATTGGTATGCGGCAATCACATAAAACTCCGGTTGCACATCTCCACTTTGCCAACCCAGCTCTAATTCTATACGTGACATCTTCCTCAATATCTCTATTTTCTTGGATTATCAATCCAAGATATCGAAAGTACGCTCTTTTTGGTATTTTGTAGCCATCAATCTTAACTACTTCCTCGTCTATGTTCTTCTTATTACTAAACTTGCATTCTATATACTCTGTCTTAGTCTGGCTAATTTTAAAAACTTTAGATTCTAGAGCATCCCTCAAAAGTTCTAACTTTGTGTTGACGCCGTTCAGATCACATGGTCTTTAACATACTTCTACTTGATCTTATCTTATTTGTATAACTATTTATGTTTAAGTTGGGTTCCATATTAGTTAGTTTCATTTTTAGAATCAATTCATAGACTTTAGTTTTCTCCAATAGCACTAGGATTTTTTTAAGAATTTATGATTTCTCCTTTGCAGTCGAGAAGGGAATACGAGAAGCAGTTGGCTGATGAAGAAGCAGAACAACTTCGGAGTTTCCATGTAATTTGATATTACCCTTGCCTTTTTAACGTTCTTTCATCAAGTTAATTGTATATCAGTTTTACTTTTTATTTATTTAGTTTCACGTCTAAAATTTGATTTTGTTGTAGTCATTGATCAGCTGGTATCCAGATTTTTCTAGAGATAACAATACTGGAATCCTTGGATAGGATGAATGGTTTATGCATGTATTTGGGACATAACCATTCACTGATCTTGATTGCATTATACATGAACCTAACCAAATCAAGAAATAGGGTTTGGATTATATTCAAAATCCAAATCATGATATGTGCGCGCTGTGTGTCACGTTTTTGTGGTCTTTTTAGAAAATTGCCCTCTCAAGCCATGCAACTATACTATTTCACACCAAGTAGCTTAATTACTTGACATATGACTAGTCTCACTCAAGCTGTGCAACTATACTATTTTCCCCAAGTAATTACTTAAAAACATGAGTAGTCTACTATTGATTTATTCTAGGTGACTTTGTTTCATACTGAATTAGGTACGACCTTCGATAAATATCGAACTGATGAATCAATTATAACGTCATTTCTTTTGATTTTCTACTAGAAAAACTTGCTCTTTAAATTTTAATTTGTGGGTTCTTATCAGGATGCAGTGTCAGCCCAATACTCCTTTGTTCGTGAGCTCAAACAAGTTCCTGCTCTGAAAGTTGAGGTTTGATTGATAGTTAACCTGCCAAAGTTTTTATTATTGAATTATGCTTCTAAATATGTATTCGTATTTGCTGTAGGAAAAGAAACCAATGGGGAAGATGAATACACAATCTCGCCCAATAAGCAACCTGATCACTTTTAAGCCTCAAGCAAAGAAACTGAAGAAAGACATAGAAATCAAGGGAAATTCACGCAGCTTAGCAAGGCCACCAGATAATAATGCCGGTCAAGAGGATCTTGGATCACAAAGTATGGGGCTCAAGGGTCTGGTATCATATAGTGATGAAAGTGAAAGTGAAGATGATGAAAGGTAGCTGTGGTGTTGGGGCAAATATTTCTCTTGAATGCTATTTCTGAAATATTAACTTATTTCACTAACTTTTTGTTACAATCGATTTTGTAACGTAAACTGGGGAGAATCTGCCAACAACTTATGATAGCCATGTGGTGTTTGTTTCTTTTTGTTGATATCTATGTCCATTTTTGTATTGATGTGTTCTTTCTGTTGATGTTTATGTCCATCTATTTATTAACGTGGAGCAAGGCACTTCTTTACTGATTCATTGGTTAATAGGCAACATTCTTCACTTCCTGTTTGCCCTTTTCTCTTTATATGCCTGGTGACTCCTGCCTTTGCTTTTTGTGTTATCATATGCTTTAGTGTTTCATTGGTCTGTAGGCAACATTCTTCACTTCCTCTTTTCCCTTTTCTATTTATATGACTGGCACATATGAGTGGGTGCTCAAAGTTGCCTTATAATTGATGTGGAAGAAACGGCTTTCTAAAGTTTTATCCCTATTGGTGATAAGTGCTGTTTGATGCGCAATCTGAGCCAATTTGCTGCTGCAACAGGCCTGTAACAAATGCCAGGGAGAAGGGACCCTAGAAGTCTGCCTTATCGGTGCTTTCATGAGCTAATGGGCCTTTGAGGTACATGAAGCTTAGGTTTACATTTAGGGCTGGAATAATATAGATCCATATGACTGTCATAACTCCATGAGCATGAGGTTATCACTGTCCCATCAACGGCTCGGATGGTGAGCTTCACTATACAATTCAATGAATGAATTATGCATCTCTGTTATCTCTCCTCACTCCAACCAATTGATTATTGGGTGGTGATAAATCAGTAGGCCATGATTGTTACTATGACATATGGATGATATTATATTTTTGGTCGGTTTAGTTCGCTTCACTTAAAGTTTTTTGTGAAGTATGTTGATAGTCATATCAAAGGTATAGCCTGGTTGGACATTCTAATAGTCATAACAAAGATATGGCTTGCTTATCTTTGTGTCCAGTCATGAAAAAGCCACGAAAAAGAATCCCTTTTTCCAGAAATAGAGAAAAAACATGCACTTTTTTCATACTCCTACAGGTGCATCAGCAGTGTCTGGGAATAAGCAGGACTACAAAAATTAGGCTGCCCCATGAGCAGTCATGGATCTAGCTGGGACTCCAATCACTCTTCAATGGGTGTATGGAGAAACAATGCTGTTTTTAAAAGTTTCTTGCACAACCAAACAGGTTCTAAAGATATGCTGAAATCAAGTATGGGAGAAGGGCCTGATTGTCCTCTCTTGGAGGGGTGGTGGGACGTTTATGTTGCCACCTGTGGAAAATGTGTATGACCCAAAAATATTCGGACAGTATAAGTGTCCTCGAAAGAGATTTGCATGCAGAGAGAGAGAGTAACTAAAACACCAATATTTGAATCTGAATGTATAATTCTTTCACCATGACGTCTAAGATATGGGTCTGTATGCAGGCCTTTCTGCATAAAAATCAGATCCCCAATACAATACTAGATAGTAGTTACTAAACTGTTTGGTTGATTGGTTCTAAATATCTTTGCACTTATAATCTGCTTTTTTTTCCGGCTCATTTCCTGTTAAAATACAAGCATTTTTCAAAACATAATATAAGTGTCCTCGAAAGTGATTTGCATGCAGAGAGACAGAGAGAGAATAAGTAAAACAACGATATGTGAATCTGAATGTCTTAATTCTTTGACCATGACCTGTAAGATACAGGGTCTGTATGCGGGCCTATCTGCATAAATATCCGATCCACAATACAATACTAGATAGTAGATCCAAAAATCAGAAAAGAACTGGGTATTAAACCCACTAGGTAGGAAACTTAAACGCGATTATTATGATAATTTTGAAATTTTATTGAGGTGCCGCCCTTTGTAGCCTCCACTTTTGATAGTTGATCAGGCTCCTCGAACTTCAAAATTCACCCATGCACAATTCAGAGCATGCTGTTCCCACTGCTCTGGTTGTTCCTACTGTTTTGCCTAAAACCAACCCAAAGCATTGTTTAGTATAGCGGACGATGATCATTGGAAAAACTATACAGGGGTATCCATTTGTGCTGCTGACGAATAACAGGGCTAGGTGTGGCAATCGGGTTGGGCCAATTTGTACGGTCGCGTCGACCTGCCTGCCTCGGCCCTGGTCAGGGTGTGGACTCGGTTAGTGGACCTGAGGGGTGGCATCTATGTCCCTTTGACTTGGACCTGTCCTTGTCAGGTCTCTATCCTGCAGCAATCAGCTCTGGTTTGGGTGGGGGTCAACGCGACCCGGTTTGATACATTACATGTAATATTCTTATTTACATATTGTTGGAAATTTTTATATTTTTTATTACATAGGCTTAGACCTGACCTGAGGTATTTGAGTAAAAAGAATTTAAAATCAACATTGTCAAGGTCAAAATGGGTAATTTTATAGATGTTTTGATCACTTATTTGATAATTTCAACCAAAAAGGAGCTCTCTTAAATAAAATTTGCGCATAATTTGATGGAGAAATGGATGCCTGCCATTTTATTCTCTATTTTTCTGGTGTTTTTTCTTTGGGTACGGTTTGTATAGGGCCGAGGCTCTAAACAATCAAAGTAAAGCGCACCTTCAAATGGTGTCGAGAAATGTGGTTTCAATACTAGAAATTTTTGTGTTCGCCGTAAAATATATTTTCATGTTTAATTATAAAATTTAAAGTGTAAAAAATAGTGTAGATCAAGCAGATCTATGAAAACTTGAATATTGACCGTAAAAAATGTGTTACAAAATGCACTATTCCCAAAACTTGAAATCCATTTTTTTCTTATGTCTATGCATCTTGATGTCGAGATGATCAAAGTGAGGATATTTAAGCATCAAGACAAGTATTTTAGTGGAATTTTTGAGGTGGGCTCTAATTTGATTATATAGAGCCTGGGCTCAATATAAACTTTTTCCTTTTTCTTTTGGCATTTCAGTATTACTTAGTCGCCTCGTCTTTCTAACTATTGTAATCAAGAAAATGGAGAAAGTTCAAATCCATTAGGTCTAAAAACTAGTCCCCAGGAAAATATGTATCAGTGTTTTAATATAAGTTTGGTTTCACCGACAACTTATAACCCCTTTTGAGCATGCAATGGCAACAATAGATGCCATCATAAAGATTTCCGATGTCAAAAGTATTTTAGGATTGAAGGTAAGGCTCTACTTCTATCATAAAGCCTGAGCCATATATTGCTGTTGCTTATGTCTTCTCTATTTGTTTTTAATGATGTAAAAACAAACAGAGAGAGGGGCTCTTCTATCTTATCTGTTTGTTTTAATGATGTAATCTCTAATTATTATTAATAAAAAATAGAACTTTGGTAAAAAAAAAAAAGAAGCTTAGACCATATAGAAACTACATCCTTTTTTTTTAAAAAAAAGCAAAAATACGGACTCTTTTTTTTCATGTTTAAGATCGAAAACGCCCGCATTCTTCACTATTTCCATTCCATTCCATTCCAATTGGAATCCACAACCGCTAGGGTCTATTTTTGTCTCGGTCTGAACCACACATTGTGCGGTCTGAACCACACATTGTGCTTTAGTTAAAGCTGAAAGTAATAACAAGTGTTTTCTTTCTTTTTTTTGGGTAGATCTGTGGGGAAGAGAGGCCCGTACCCATTTTTTCTTTTTTTTGTGTAGATCGGTGGGGAAGACAGACCCCTACCCATTTTAAAAATAGTTAGTGGTTTTTGAATGCGTCAGTGGGAATGGAAATCTAGACTAGTAGCTGAGGCTCACGTGGTGTTACTACTTAGACTTCAACCCCATTCCAAATAATAGGTGTTCTTTTAAAAAAATAATTGCATGTTAAATGGTATTATTTTTCATTTTGTGTCTAATAAATTGCTTTTATTTGCTATAAGATTATTTATCTTTCGCATACGGACGTCGTAACTGCCAAACCATTATAAAAACCATTATAAAATGTTGAAACTTAAGGTGCACCTCAAAAACCATTATAAAAGGTTGTCTTGAGGTTGGAAAGCCGTCTAATTGATCATCACGACATCGTGATGCACAAATATAAAAAGAAAATTTGTTTTTGAGTCCCAAAAATTATGTATCTTACAACACATTATCCGAACAGTTGATTTTCAAGATTTTCATGTGTTTATAGATCTACTTGATTTGAATCATTTTTTAAGTTTAAAGCTTTATAAAAAGATGAAAATAGATTCTAACGCCATCTTAAGAATTTTTTACACCAAAATTAGATTTATAACAAAATTTGAATGTGGGTCTTCATTTGATTATTTAAAGTTACAACCTTATACACACCACACCCATTTCTCTTTTGTTTTTAGTACTTCTATATTCTAACCCTTGTGAATAAAAAATTGTGCCCTTGTTTGCAGTTCAAAAAAAGAAAAGAAAAATGAGGCCTAGTTTGAAGTCCAACAGCTTAAAGTAGGTCTATAAACAAGCCCTAAGAAAATAGAGATTGTATAAAATGAGACCATTTGCCTTTGCTACAAAGAGGTCAAATTACTTATAACTATATATGAAATATGATAGTTTGGGTGTGTCAAAAAGTTTGAGAACATTGTTTTTTTACTTTGAGTTTAGTCAATGGAATAAATGCAGGCACCTAATTTCACATCCAATGGTCAAAATTAACTGTGACTATCTTGAACCAAAGGTAAATGATCTCATTGTATATGCTTTTCCAAGCAAATATTTATTAATAAATTTTAGATTTTCTACACAAAATAGAACCACCTCTTGATCATACGATGTTGGAAATTGATGGTCGAGGAGTGTCATTCCTCCTCCCTCAAAGTCCACACAAATGCTCAAAGCCCCTAAATTTCTCATACATAGATATGAGGGGAGGAATGACGCTCCTCACCATCCATTGAAGACATTGGGCGATCTAGGGAATAGTTAAGTCTCATGTTTGAGATAGAGCATGTAACTACAAAATACCCTTGCATTCATAAAATTTTAAAGGAAAATAATCATTTTGAGGGGTCATAACCTTTCGTAAAATCATTGAATGAGTCAAAGCATCTCAAATAACATGAAAAGGTTGTACCTCGTTAAAAAGTATCCCAAAAGTAACCAAATTACCTATATACAAGATTGGGAATCCCCAATAAGTTGGAGCATTTTTGTGAAAGTTTATAAAAGTAGACCATCTATCAGGCCCAAACCAGTTTATGGGATAAAACCAAATTGTAAAAGTACCCACACTTGTTTAAATTATTTAAATACCCTTGTTTAAATACCCTTATTTATTTAGAGGTCCAACTATTAATAAAAAAAGTGGGGAGGTACCTAAGTGAATTGAAATTAAAAGGCAAAATATCTAATATTAGTTTGCATATTTTGGTCCTCTTGATGATTTGGTAAGTGTTTCTGGCTCCTTATATGCTTTTCTTTTATTTACAATTGTTTTTTGGCTTCTTTTCCTTGTTTTTTAAATGGCTGAGTCTCTGACTCCGATTTGGAAAGGGTGGGTGTCTGGTTCGATTTTTAAAGCAGTATTAAACGGTAATAGAAAATAGAGTGATTTACGTACAGATTTGAAAACTATACCTTAATATGGAATGCTCCATGTAGAGCGGAAATTACAAGGAAGGTCATTCAACTTGAACTCTTTTTTTTTTATAAATGGCCCCTCGGTATGAGGATGGACCGTATTTTAAATTTTGGTTTTAAAGTTTTTCGTTAAGAACGTAATGCCCCAAGCCTTAGGGGCAGTGCCCAGGTGATTCGAGGTTAGAATCCTTAGACTGATGCTGAGAGGTCCGGGCACCCCAACGTCAAACCACTGTTTTTTTCAAAATGTAAGAAATAAAGTGCGGTCCGAGGATGGCGACCACAGTCCGGCCTAGAATTGATTTTTTCTCAATC